CGGGTCCGGCCCCCCGGGGAGCGGGCAGGCGGCCGGCCGGGCTGCTGGGGGAGCGCAGCTGCCAATGTCACCTTCAGCCCTCGGCGGCTCGGGGCAGGGGCAGCCATCCCGGGAATCCGGGCGGCTTAAGGATGGGAGCGCGGGCTGCTGCGTAAGAGCCACTTGAGCCCTGCTGTCGCCTTGCGGGATATCGCGTCCCCTTATCGTCCCGTGGAGTGCTTCTCACCCCCTCCCCCGGCGCGGCCCCGCACCCCTTCGCTGCCGGCTGCTGCCGAGCTGGGATGTGCCGTGGGACGGCCGTGCCCGGGCACCCCTGGGGTGCAGCGTGGCGGGGAGGGGTGTCCTGACCCGCCTGCCCGGCTCTGGCTGCTGCCAGCTCCTTATCCAGCCTCTCCTGTGCTAGGCCCCGCCGTGGAGCGGCATGGGAACTTGGCACCCCCCCTCGGCCAGGCCAGCCCCATCACCTCGGACGAGGAGTACCTGAGCCCCCTGGAAGAGTTCCCCGAGTCCGGCACCCCCCAGCACCGACCGGCCATGAAGCTGCAGCCTAGAGCCGAGCATGGGGCTGCCCGCGGCTCCCCAGAGAGCACCTTCAAGGCTGCACCCACCTTTGAGGTGAGCCGACAACCCCCCCTGGGACCTGGCAGAGGAGGAGCAGTTCCCTGTGACCACAAGCCCTGTGGTCCCCAGTGCCAGGAGGTGCCGGGTCAGGCTTTCCTACCCCCTGATGTGGGGTGCTCCTGGCACCTGGGCAGCCTCCACCCCACCAGCTTCCCTGGTTCTCCAGGGCTGCTGTTGTGATGGGGGACGCACAGCCCTGGGTGCAGTGGTGGGTATGCATGGCCCTGGGTGCAGGTGGGTGCTCACTGCTCTCTGACCCCCGCTTCCCCAGGTGTCCCTGTCGGACCAGTCGGTGCTGGAGGGACAGGATGTCAGCATGAGTGTCCGCGTCCGTGGGGAGCCCAAGCCTATCATTTACTGGTGAGTCCCAGTGCTCGCTGGGTCACAGCTGGGCAGGGAAGGAGGGGACAGGCATGGTGACCTCCCTGTTTGGGGATGGCCAGCTCAGATCTCTGGTCCTTAGCAGGGTTGGGGGTGGAAGAGAGGGGTCCTTTGGGGACGGCCAGGCTGGACATGCAGGGCCAGGTGTGACCATGCCGTTCTGCCCGTGTCCCGAGCAGGCTGAGGAACAGGCAGCCAGTGAAGTATGGCCGCCGGCACCATGCAGAGGAGGCGGAGGGGGCGCGAGGGCTCTTCACGCTGCACATCCTGGCAGCGGAGCGCACAGACACTGGCTTCTACACCTGCAAGGCCGTCAACGAGTATGGCACCAAGCAGTGCGAGGCCAAGCTGGAGGTCAGAGGTAAAGCTCCCCGAGCGCGTCTCCCCCGGCCCTGAGGGGCCAGCTGTCTCCAGTACCCTGCATGAGCTGTGTGGGGAAGGGGCTGCTGAAGACCCCCCCCTTGGTGGTGCTGCAGGAGAAGGCAACAAGCCAGCCTGCCCTTCCCTGCCGCAGCGCAGGCGGGCGCAAGCCAGGAGCAGGAAAGTGAAGCTGTGTGCCTGGGTCTGCCCACAGAGGCTGGCCCTGCAGCGGAAGGCAGGCTGCACTGCTGCCCCATCCAGATGTGCAGCCCCACAGCCCTGGGTCCCACCACCCAACTGTGCCAGGGCCCCCGATGGCCTGACCCAGAGCCTGCTGCTCCCCGCAGCCCAGCTTCACCCCACATTCCCCTGTCTCCCCATGTACCCAGTGCTGGGGCCGGTTGCTGCCCCTGGCTGCGCAGGGAGGGCTTTTGCCCTTGGTGACCCTGCAGGGGACATGTCCCCCCGCCCTGCCGTGCCAACAGCTCCTTCCCTCCCCATCCCAGGCAGCCTGCAAGCTGTGTGCCAGGCACAGGGCAGCTTGGAGAGGTCCCCCCCTGCCCGTTTCCAGCAATAGCCCTTATGCATGGGACTGGGCTGTCCAGCCCCCATCCCTTGCCGTTCCTCCCCAGCCCTGCTGTGGTCCTCCTAGGACCCCAATATATGTGTGCAAATGGGGGAGGGGGGGTCAGGACTGATAGACAGGCTCTGCCTGGCATCCCCCGAGGCCAGGGAAGAAGCCTGCGGGGATGAGTGATGCTGCCTCCCTCCTCTTGCCCTTTGCTGTGTGTGCCCTGCTCCCCCCCCAGCCCTCCCCGCTGACGGCTGCCTGAGCCCCCCGGGCTGCGCCCATCCCACCCCGGCCTTGGCTGCACTGCTTGTACCCTGCCGGGACCCCGCTCCCAGCCTCCGGCAAAGCGCGGCGGCACTGGGGTGGGAGTGGGAGCCAGCCCCATGCCCCACAGCCAGCAGGAGCTGGGCTGCGGGGGCGACGGCCCAAGCCCCGGCCCCTCTCGGGGGGCTCGGCGGGTGGCTCCGCGCCTTGGTGCGCACTTGCACCCTTCGTGCCGGCGCTGGCGTATGCGTGCGTGCGTGCCGGCCCCGTTGCTGCTGCACTAACCCTTCCGCTTGCTGACTGCGGTTTTTGTCTGTACGCAGGGGGAGTACGATAAGGGGGTGCATCTCTCAGAGCCGCGGCCGCGGGGCTCTTAGTTGGACACCTCTTAGGCAGTGGACCTCACCTTGTGTTATTACCTTCTGCTCCATCCGCCGCCTCGTCCTGGATGCACCGCGGGGACGCGCGGGCCCTCGACTGCGGGCAGGGGCTCGCCGGATGGCCGGGGGAGGCGTAACCGAGGCGGGGTGGGGGGAGCGGCAGGGGAGCACCAGGCACCCCCTCAGCCGGGCCAGGGCGGCCGTATGATGCTGTCTTGTCTCTTGCTCTGTCCGTCTGTCCCTGTCTGCGTGTCCTGCTGCTCCTCTCCTTGCTGCCCAGGGAAGGGGAGCAGGGAGCTGAGCCCACGGTCGCCGCCGTGCCGGCCGGGGCTGTAGGGAAGGGGCTGCGGCATGGTGGCAGCTCTGCAACGGTCACCTTGGAGCACGGGGGACAGGAGACCCCCGGGACCCCTGCTGGGGAGCACCCTGCCCCAGCCCCAGCGGGGTGGGAGAGCATCTGCCCCTTTGGCCCGCAGGCAGCCGCCCGGGTGCCGGCCTGGTCACCTTGAGATGTCCCTCGCAGCCCCAGGGCTGGGGGTCCGCCCGGAGCACCCCCCAGCTCCGTGTCTCTTCTCCCCGGGGAGGGGGCTTGGCGGGGGGGCGGGCTGCGAGGCCGTGACCCTTTTTTTTGTAGCTCTAATAAAATCTGTTTGGTAAAGCGCTGTGTGGTGTGTTCCTGGCACGGACACCTCCCTTCACCCCCGGCCCCCTCCCTGGCTCAGCTCCGCTTTCCACATCTCGCCCCCCATCCCGCCCGTCCCCGCTGCACTCCCTGCCCGCAGCACCGGGCCCTCTCCCCGCATGTCCCCCCCTGCCCTGCACGTTCCCCGCCCCGCCAGCTCCATCCCCGCCACCTCTCATGGTTGCTTTTCAGTTGCTGAGACGCGTCTCTCTTTCTTTCTCTCTCTCCCCCCTTCCCGGGCAGCTCGCCCCGAGTGCCAGTCCCTGGCCATCGTGGTTCCCCTGCAGGACGTGGTGGTCGGGGCGGGGGAGCTGGCACTCTTTGAGTGCCTGGTGGCTGGCCCGCCAGACATGGACGTGGACTGGCTCTCCCGGGGCCGGCTGCTCCAGCCCGCCCTGCTCAAATGCAAGATGCATTTTGACGGGCGCAAGTGCAAGCTGCTGCTCACCTCCGTGCATGAGGACGACAGCGGGATCTACACCTGCAAGCTCAGCACCGCCAAAGGTAAGCGGCGGTCACGCAGCTCCCCGGGGGGGCGGGTATCTCTCAGGGCTTGGCCCTAGGGGGGTGCTGGGGGGTGGACGGCCCCCCCTGTCCCTGGGTTTGGGGCTCTGGTCCCCCTGGGATGGAGCTATGAGTGCTGGAGGTGGGGGCCAGGGGGCCAGGGAGTGGTTGCTGCCCCAGGAGCTGGGGAGCTTTCCCCAGCTGGGAAAACTGGTGGGCATCAGTCCTCGGGCTCCAGCACCCTGAGCCCTGCAGCCCTGTCCCACCCCACTCAGCTCCTCTGCCGGCATGCATGCAGCTCCCAGCAATGTGGGGAGATGCATTCGCACTGTGGCTGCACTGGCTGGATGCAGCCCTGGAGCACGGCTGTGCCTGTTCCCTGGCTCCAGAGCCTCTGGGCACCCGGCTCCAGTACCCACCTGTCCCTGCTGGCCTGGGAGGTGGCACGGGCAATGGGCAGGTGGGTCAGGGCCGCCCACCCTCTCCCACGGAGCCATCACTGGTGGCATCTGAGGAAGAGCAACAGGACCCGGCCTCTGTCCCATGGCTCTGACACCCCTCTGTGCCTGTGCATGCTGCACACAGCCTCTGTCCCCCGCAGTGGGGCAGGGACAAGGGTCCCTTTCGAATTCCCCAGCCCGCCTGGGCAGCCCCTTGGCAGTAACCTGGGCTGCGGTGGGTGCAGGGGGCAGCGGCATTCCTGGCACCCTGTGGCTGGTGCCTGTGCATCCCTCCATGGAGGAGGCTGTACGCCTGCAGGGATTTGAGGGCAGCAGCAGTTTTGGGTGCAGGTAGGTGAAGCTGTGCCTGAGCATGGTGTCAATCCCTTCCCCGGGATGGGTGACGACACCATCATTGCAAATCGGTCTCTGCTGCAAACCCCCTCATCTGGAGCATCCAGCCTGCGCCTGTCCCCATGCTGCCCCTGGGTGCTGCATGTGCTGGTGCTGCCTGCTTCAGCATCGCCTCCCCGTCCCCAAGGGGCTAGGCCAGCTGTGACCCCCTGCCCTGTGGGAAGGAGAGAGAGCATCCTCCTGCCCCACCACTGCTGGCATCTGTACTGCTGTGAGGGGAGGAAAGAGGCACCCCGCTACCAGCAGAGTACCAGCCCTGGGCATAGGGACCTGGCACACGTTTGTACCCCCCCTGCCCCATGCAGGGACAGAGCTTGGCACCCAGCACACCCGGGCTCAGCCCCCACCAGGCGTGGGGTACGCTCAGCTACAACCACGTTGGCTGCTGGGGGTGCAGGTGGGGGGGAGGATGCAGGCTGCCTCCTGCCCTGCACACAGGCATGCTGCATGGGGGCCACTCCTACCTCCTCTCCTTGCAGATGAGCTGACCTGCAGTGCCCGGCTGACGGTGCAGCCCTCTGTGCAGCCACTCTTCACCCGCAAGCTGGAGGATGTGGATGTGGTGGAAGGGCGGACGGCGCGTTTTGACTGCATGATCAGTGGGACTCCCCCTCCGGCGGTCACCTGGACCCATTTTGGTAACCCCCAAGCCCAGAGAGCTTGCCCAAGGCCCTGCAGGGAAACCTCTCCCCATCTGCTTGGGGGCTGCATCCAAGGGCTAATGCCCAGCTGGGGCTGGGAGGGGTGCTGATACTGATGCTGATGCTGGTGTGTGTCTCCGTGCAGGCCAGCCGGTGCAGGAGGGGGAGAACGTGCGGATTCAGCGGGATGGTGGGCTGCACTCGCTGGTCATCGTGCACGTGGGCAGCGAGGATGAGGGGCAGTATGCGGTGACAGCCAGGAATGCCCACGGCCACGTGGAATGCTCTGCCGAGCTCTATGTGGAGGAGCCGCGGACATCTGCTGCCTCCCAGATGTAAGAGCCAGGGGTCTCTGGGGTTTGCATCCCCCCTGCTTGTTTCCCCCTGGGATCTAGGGGACAAGCAGGTTGTGCAAAGCCTGGGGTCAGGGATGGGCTGGGGGCACTGTATTCCCGCTGCGAGTGTGCGTGGGCTCTTGCAGCTCCAAGCTGGAGAAGATGCCATCCATCCCGGAGGAGCCAGAGCAGGCAGAGACGGAGGCAGAGTGCTTCACCATGCCTGACTTCCTGAAGCCGCTGCACAACCTGGACGTGGTGGAGTCGAAGGAGGCCGTGCTGGAGTGCCAGGTGGCCGGGCTGCCCTACCCCTCCATCACCTGGTTCCACAATGGCTCCCGCATCGACAGCACAGATGACCGCAAGATGATGCAGTGTAGGGCTCCCTGCCGCCCTCCTCGCCCCCTTGGGGTCCCTCCACCTGGGGCAGAGGAAGGGGGGACACCCCGGGAGGAAGGATCACCCCCCAGACCTTCATGCCCCATGAGGCAGGGAGGGGAGCCCTGCGTGGCTGGGCTGTTGGTCTCTTACCAGTGTGTCCCTGTTCCCCCCCAGATAAGGATATCCATCGCCTGGTGTTCACGGCTGTCAGCCATGCACACGCTGGCGTCTATAAAAGCGTCATCGCCAACAAAGTGGGGAAGGCCACGTGCTACGCGCACCTCTACGTCACTGGTAAGCAGCAGTGGGTACCACCGGGGATGTGCGGCCACTCACTGCCGCCCTGCTGGGCTGTGGCCCGGGGCTGGGGGTTGGTGGCCCTGTGTAGCGAGGTCCTACGTTGATAGGGTCACAGGGCAGTTCAGGTTGGAGGGGAGCTCAGGTCTCTAATCCAACCTAAAAGCGGGGTCAGCTGTGCAGTCCTCACCTTGCAGGGTCAGGACCCATCCCTGGACCCCCAGATCCCACGTGGGACTTGCTGGCAGCACCAGCCCCACAGGGGCTGCCAGTCTGAGCCTCCGCCAGAGAACCAGTGAGGGTTGCTGGCCCCATCCATCCCCTGCAGCCCGCGTCTCCCGGGGTGTGAGGCAGATGTCTTGAGGAGCTGTGGCAGAGGCCATGCTCACACCCCTCCCCTCCTCCCCACACAGACGTGGTGCCAACCCCCCCGGATGGGCCCCCCACCGTGGCCTCAGTGACCGGCAGAGCCATCACGTTGACCTGGAACAAGCCCAGGTGGCTGGACACCGCCATAGGTGAGGGGGCTGGGGCTGGGCAGGGGGTGGGCAACGCCATGATGGGGCACAGGGGCCATCCCGATGCCGGGGGCTCCGCACCGACCCTCTCTCCCTGCAGACCCCAACTCGGTGACCTACGTGGTGCAAATGCAAGTGCTGGGCACGACGCAGTGGCTAGTGCTGGTGGCCGGTGTGCGGGATACCACCTACACGGTGCATGGGCTGACCAAGGGTGCCCAGTACCTCTTCCGCGTCATCACCGCCACCCCCAAGACCAACAGCAAGCCCTGCCCACCTGTGGGGCCCGTGCAGCTCCTGGACCGGGGTGAGAGGCGCAGCAGCGAGGGGATGGGTGGCTGGGGTGGAAGGGTCTCTGTCCTCTGTGGGGTGGTGAGCTGCCCAGGGCCGGGCGACGTGGGGTCGGGAGGTGGTGGTGATGATGCGTGTGGCAGGTCCCTACCTGGAAGAGGCCCCGGTCATCCTGGACAAGCCAGATGTGGTGTACGTGGTGGAGGGTCAGCCAGCCTCCATCACCATCACCATCAACCACGTGGAGGCCACCATCACCTGGAAGAGGTAGGACATGGCGCTGTGCCTGTTGCCTGCCCCATGCCCAGCATCGCCCCACAGGGTGCACAAAGAGGGGCTCCTGCACCAGCTCCCCATGCAGCCCGTGGTGGGTGGGGGTCCTTCCTTGGGGCTGAGCTGGGCATGCACCCAAGTTTGATGTCCAGGGCTGTGTAGACCTGCATGCGGGGGGCGCTTTTTTTGGGGGGGTGCTGTTGGTGGGGTGCTAAGGGTTAGGAGCCAGTCAGGAGGCAGAGCTAGCAATGGGGTGCGAGCTGTTTGCGGGGGCTGTGAGGTGGGAGCCGGGGCCAGGGCTGTCTGTGGGTCAGGAGGTGGCCATGGGGCTGTGAGGTGGGAGCTATCGATGGGGCGGTGGGTCTGGGGCTGCCTGTGGGGCCGTGATGCGGCAGCTGGTGTTCCCGCAGGGGCGGGCAGGTGCTGGGGGAGCAGGAAGGCACGTGCGAGGTGGTGATGCCAGACGATGACCAGCACTGCCTGCGGCTGCTGCGTGTGGGCCGGGGGGCAGCGGGGCCACTGACCTGCGAGGTGAGCAACCGCTACGGCACTGCCCGCTGCACCCTCCGCCTCCGCCTTGCAGGTAGGTGCGCCCGCGCCGGGGGGCTGTGCCCCTCTGCCGAGGGGTGGCATCGCCCTGTGGTGCTCCAAGCCCGTGTGCCATGGGGGGGTGGGGTGGACATTGGCCCACAGGGTGGCACTGCTCCACGGTGCTCATGGGCCGTGGGGGCACTGCCCCATAACATGGCACTGCTCCTCAGTGTTCCATACTTGTATGCCATAGGGATGTTGCTCTATAGGGTGGCAATGCCCCACGGGGCTGAAAAGCCATGAACCATGTGTTGATAGTGCTGCCCGGTGTCCCATACCCATATCTGACTTGGGTAAAAGTGTCCCATGTGCCCCATGACCATGTGCATGGAGTGGCACTGCCCCACGGTGTCCCTCAGCCATGTGCCATGAGTGGCACTGCTGCAGGCTGTCCCATATCTGTGTATAATGGGGTGGCACTGCCCCACAGTGCCCTATGGCCAAGAGCCATGGGACACACCTCCACAATGCCCCCCAGAGGTGTCATGGGTGGCACTGCCCTACAGAACCCCATATGCATATGTAATGGGGATATGCAAACCCACATTGCCCCGTGCCCATGTGCCATGAGTGGCACTGCCCCATGGTGCTCCACACCAACGGGTGACTGCCCCACGGTGCTGCAGGCACATGCCATTGGTGGCCTGCCCCGTAGTGTCCCGCTCCCATGTCCGTTGGGGTGGCACTGCCCCATGGCACTCCATGCCCCTATACCATGGGCTGGCACTTCCTCACAGTGCCCCACAACCATACACCCCATGCCAGTGGCAGGGGGGTGGCACCGCCCCATGGTGCCCCATACCCCATCTCTTGGCAGAGGCACCGCGCTTTGAGTCCATCATGGAAGACATCGATGCCCAGGAAGGGGAGACGCCGCGCTTCGCCGTGGTGGTGGAGGGGAAACCGCTGCCAGACATCATGTGGTACAAGGTGGGCTGGGACCCTCCACCCCCTTCCTGACCCACAACCCCCCCAGACCCACACCCTCCACAGCCTCACCTGGGTTGCTGTGTTGGGGCTTTGGGGTTGTGTTCACCCCCGATGATGCGGGATGCGCCCCATGCCCCATCCACGGGGAAGGGGTGGCGGGAGCTGTTCAGGGATGGGACGGCACCCCCCTGACGCCCCTGCCATCCCCAGGATGGGGAGCTGCTGGAGGAGAGCAGCCACCTGAGCTTCGTATATGAGGACAACGAGTGCTCGCTGGTGGTGCTGGGCGCCGCCGAGCCCGACAGCGGCGTCTACACCTGCACGGCCAAGAACCTGGCCGGGGAGGTCTCCTGCAAGGCAGAGCTGGTGGTGCGGGCAGGTACGGCCGGCCAGCCCCCCGGCCCCTGGGGACAGAGCCCGGGTGCCCGGCTTGCCCCCCGCCAGCGCCTTTCCTTCCCCCAGCCCAGCCCGCTGCCGATGCTGCCATGGAGGAGGATGCGCTGCACAAGGCGCGACGCCTGACCGACTACTACGACGTGCACGAGGAGATTGGGAGGTACGGAGCCGCCAGCACGGTGGGCAGCAGGGCACCCTGGGCACCACAGGGACAGGGGGGCTGGAGGCTGCACCCTGGGGCTCTGTCCCTCGGGACTGAGCTCCATGGTATGCCAGATCCTGATGTGCTGGGGCTGCTCTCAGCCATCGTTGGATGCCCTGATGCCAGCTCAGGGTGGGGAGCCGGTGCAAAGCCAGGCCTGAGCTCTCTCCATGGATGGTCCTGGAAAGCTGCTGGGGCTGCAGGCTCCAGCTCCCTGCAGAGCAGATGCCTGCCCCAGCTGCTCAGGGAAGGGGATGTCTCCTGCTCCCCCAACTTCTTAGCCCCCCTCACCCCCATTGCTGCATTGCAGGGGGGCTTTCTCCTACCTGCGGAGGGTGACGGAGAAGAGCAGCCGGCTGGACTTTGCCGCCAAGTTCGTCCCAGGGAGGACCAAGGCCAAGCAGTCGGCACGGCGGGAGCTGCACATCCTCTCGCAGCTGGACCACGAGCGCATAGTCTTCTTCCACGATGCCTTTGAGAAGAAGAACGCCGTCATCATGGTCATGGAGCTGTATCCTCCGGGTGCTGCTCTGGGAGTGTGTGGCACAGGGGATGAGGGGAGGCTCTTTGGGGGGTAAGGGGGCAGAGCAGGTGCGGACGAGCTGCATGCCCAGGAAGGTGCAGGACACATCAGGGCATGGAGTTTCTGTGCTCCTTGACTGGGCCCCAGCTGCGCTGAGGAAGAGCTGCTGGACAGGATGGCGAGGAAGCCCTCGGTGTGCGAGTCTGAGGTGGGTGAACCCTGGGGGGGCAAAGTGATGGGGGAGGGAGGGAATCTGGGGACATCGGGGTCTGTCCCAGCCCAGGGATGTGCAACACTCATTGTATCAGGCTAAAAAGAGGGCTACAGCCCACACCCTCCTCTGCACAGGGCCAGCGTGGAGCTGACCCATGCTCAGGGTGCCCACCCTCCCCCTGCTCTCTCGCAGGTCCGGTCCTACATGCGGCAGGTCCTGGAGGGGATCTGCTACCTGCACCAGCACAGCATCCTGCACCTGGACATCAAAGTGAGTGGGGGGCTTCCTGGCCCCCTCCCTCCTGCCGTGCTGCCGGGGGCTCGATCTTGCTGACAGGGGACATCCCTTCCCTGGGGGGAGCCCCTGCCTCCTGCCAAGCTCCCCTCCGCCCCGCACTGTCTTGTAGCCAGAAAACCTCCTGATGGCAGATTCAAGCAGCGAGCAGGTCCGGATCTGCGACTTCGGCAATGCACAGGAGCTGACGCCCGAGGAGCCGCAGTACTGCAAGTATGGCACCCCTGAGTTCGTGGGCCCCGAGATCGTCAACCAGAGCCCCGTCTCCAGCGTCACCGACATCTGGTAAGGGTGGCTCCGGGGTGGATGGTGGGCTCCCCGCTATGCCGTGAGAGACTGGACGCCTCGGAGGCTCATGCTGTGCAGTAACCCCAGTCTCCTCTCCGCAGGCCTGTAGGGGTCATCGCCTACCTCTGGTAAGTGCCCCGGTGGGCCCCCACGGGAGGGACACCCTTCCCACCCCCTTACCACTTGCAGTGCTGGGGCTGTGGCCATGCACATTGCTCCTTGCAGACTCAGCCTCCTCCCCAGCTGCTCTTGCCTCTACCCTCCCCACGGCACTGGGGCTGGGGTCCAGGGTCTTGTTCTTGGTCCCCTGTATTTGCCATGCTGTTCCCCACGTCCCCACGGCCCGATGACAATGTCTTTTCCTCGGCAGCCTGACGGGGATCTCCCCCTTCGTGGGCGAGAATGACAAGACAACGCTGATGAACATCCGCAACTACAACGTGGCTTTTGAGGAGAGGATGTTCCAGGGGCTCACCCGGGAGGCCAAGGGCTTTGTCATCAAAGTGCTGGTCAATGACAGGCTGTGAGTGCTGTGGGGTCCCCGGCCCCTGTGCCGCTGGTGTGAGCCTTGTGGTCAAGGGAGGGTGGGGACCCCCATGCATCGGGGTGCCCGAGGGCAGGTTGGCTGCACAGCCCTGCTGGGGTGCAGCACGGGCAGCCAGACCCTCCTGCCTTTCCCCCGGCTGGCCAAAGCCCCCAGCCCGGGTGGTTCTCACCCGGTGGTGTCGATTCACAGGAGACCCAACGCAGAGCAGACGCTGGAGCATCCCTGGTTCAAGGTGAGCCTCAGCAGGGACCCAGTGCCTGGCGGCAGCGGGGTTCCGCTGAGCCTGCTGTAGGCTCTGTGGGACACCGCTGTCCCCTCGCCCCACAGACGCTGGCCAAGGGGAAGGTCATCAGCACCGACCACCTAAAGCTCTTCCTCTCCCGTCGGAAATGGCAGGTGAAGACAGGAGCTGGGGAGGGAGGGGGGCAGGCAGGGCTGTGTGCTGGGCAGGATGATGCCATGCCACCTGCCCGGGCCTGATCCAGTCCTCTCTGCCGGCTGCAGCGCTCGCAGATCAGCTACAAGTGCAACATGGTGCTGCGGCCGATCCCGGAGCTGCTGGAGGACACGTCCAACCACCTCTCCATCGCTGTGCCCCGGCACCTCAAGGAGTCACCGGCGCTGTCATCCTCCTCGGACTCGGATGACCTGGACGAGCTGCCCTTCATCCCCATGCCGCACCAGGTGGAGTTCTCTGGCTCCCGCATGTCGCTCAATGAGATCCCCACAGACGACGAGGCCATGGGGCCATCCGAGGGGCCGCGGCCGGAGGGGGTCACGTCGGGGGACGTCTCCGCCATGGAGTGGCAGAGCCAGGGCACAGGGAAGCCCGGGGTGGCCTTGGGGAAGCGGCCAAGGGGTGCTGGGCCACGGCGGCCGTGCGCAGAGGTGGAGGCACCTGGCTCCTCCGACGAAGAAGCCCCCGAAGCCCAGAAGCGGCCGGAATACCCCCGCAAAGCCATGAGGAAGGGCTCCAGCCTGGAGTCCCCAGGAAGCACCCGGCGGGGAGAGCTGAAGAGGGGTGGTTCAGCCGACAGCGCCCTGCTGCTCCACCAGCCTCCGGGGGCCGAGGAGGGGGCCGAGGCGGGACGGGACCCCCGCCGGGCCCTGGCCAAGGCGGCCTCCATGGAGCTGCCGCGGCGGAAGGGGACCTGGGGGGAGGACGATCATGCCCAGCGCCTGGAGCTGATGCGCCAGCGGCTGCTGCGGGGCAGCTCAGGGGATGGCAAGGTCAGCGGTCTGCGGGGTCCCCTCCTGGAGACCCTGGGGGTCGGCCCAGACAAGAAGGTCCCGCGGCCGACCCGGTTGGAGCCGCCAGCGCCAGCGGTGCCACGGCTTGTGCGGGCGGCCTCCAGCGAGGCCACCTCGCCGCGCCTCCTCCCTGCTGAGCATCAGCTGCAGAAGAGCAGCTCCTTCAGCCACGGGGACGCCGAGCCTGTCGTCCGGCACCGCCGCTCCGGCGCACCCCTGGAGATCCCGGTGGCTCGCCTGGAGGCCCAGCGGCTCAAAGAGTCCCCATCACTCTCAGCCCTCTCTGATGCCCGGCCCCCAGTGCCGCTGGACGCCCCTGACCCGCCGACACCCCCCGTGGTAGAGATCGCCGTCCCCCGGGCTCCCGCCGCCAAGGTTGCCTTGGGGAGGAGGCGCGTCCCTGAGGAGCGCAGCCAGCCCGGGGCCAGCACGGCCACCACCACCATGGGGAAGAAGCCCATGGCCAGGGGGCAGGAGGAGAAGATGCCCGCCAAGGCCACTGGAGCCAGTGGGGAGGGGGCTGCCAGGACGGGAGCACCTGCCCCACCGCAGCCCCCAGTCCCCGGTGCCCAAGCCCCAAAAACGTCTTCCTACGCTAAGGTCATGCAAGCCATGGGAGCTGTGCAAGGTGGGGAGCCAGCTACCGAGGAACCCCCCCGGCCCCTGCCAGCCACCCCCACCGAGCCCCGCACGCCAGCACCAGCACCAGCATTGAGGAGGGAGGTGAAGTCCACCGGCTCCTCCAGTTCCCTGCTCATCCAGGACATCGACTCGGAGGAGGTCTTTGAGGCCAAGTTCAAGCGGGGCCGGGAGTCGTCGCTCAGCCGAGGGCTGAAGCTCCTCACCCGCTCTCGCTCCGAGGACCGGCACCTGGCCAGCCTCCCGGCCCCCGACGAGGGCATCTACCGTCCAACGCCGGCCGGTGTGCCCCTGGAGCTGCGCAGGGATCGTCCCACCGGGCTGGCAGCCAAGTCCAAGTCAGTGCAGGACCTGCACGAGGTGGAGAAGGACCGGGGCTTCCTCCGGAGGATGTCCGTGCTCCTCAAGCGGACCCCGCCTGCCGAGAGGAAGAAGAGCAGGGGGGAGGATGGGGGCAGCGAGACCCCATCCAGCAGGCGCCGATTCTCCTGGAGCCTGGCCCTGGGTGGCTCCAAGGAGCGGAGGGACTCGGAGAGCCTCAAGTCGGAGCCGGGGGGCGGCGGGGAGAGCGAGTCACCGGTGGTGGCCGTGCGGAGGAAGATCAGTGCCACGGTGGAGCGAGTCTCCGCGCGGCTGCGCAGCCTGTCGGACGAGCGGCCGGAGGGTGAGGGGCCCGGGGAGCTCCGCCGTGCCAGTTCCGAGGGGGAGAGCTTGCAGCCGGGGCCCCCCCCGGCACCTGCACCCTCCTCCGAGTCCCTGCGCTCGGAGGGCAGCACCCGCTCCTCTGCCTCCGCCAAAGGTGAGCGACGAGGGGGGGTCCCACCAGCACCCTGTGGCCCAAACACCCTGGGCATGGCAGGCATGGCCATCCCGGCTTGGCCCTGCTCTCAGTCACCTTGGTTGCCCGCAGGTGGGGGTGAGAGCCAGAAGCGGTCCCGCTGGGAGCGCTGGGGGCTCTCGCGGGGCAAGAAGGAGAAGATGGCCTCGCAGCCCAGCATCCCCTCCAGCCTGCTGCGGGAGGAGGGACCCGCCACCGGCCGGCCACATGCATCCAGTGAGTCGGGTAGGTGCAGCCCCCAGGATGGGATGGCGGGTGTGCATCACTGCCCCAGCCTGACCCCACGTCTGCTTTCCAGATTTCCCCCCTGTATTCCACATCAAGCTGAAGGACCAGGTGCTGCTGGAGGGCGAGGCGCTGACCCTCTGCTGCCTGCCTGCCGGCAGCCCGACCCCCAGGATCCTCTGGATGAAAGGTGGGGGGCTGCCTGCGCTGCCACGGTGAGTGGGCGCCAGGGCAACACTGTAGCATCCCTTTCCTCTGCTCCCCCCTGCAGACAAGAGGTCCCTGCAGCCAGACAGCGCACTGAACATCATCTCCTGCAAGGACGGCCGGCAGATGCTCACAATCACCAAGGTCTCCAGGAAGGACACGGGGCTGTATGAATGTGCAGCCGCCAACACCCTGGGCACGGCCATCAGCTCCTGCACACTGGCTGTGGCACGTAAGGAGGCGGGAGGGGGACCTCGGGGGACAGAGGTGCTGCCCCGCGGGGAGAGAGCACGTGCCAGGCACAGAGCCCGGGGCTGGGGACCCGTCGGAGCAGGTTACTTGAGCTCCGCTCTCCACATCTACAAGAGACTGGGACTTTTGAGGGGGGACAGGCTAGTTTTGCATGGGCACTTCCAGCATCTCTGAGCCCACGTGTTGCGCTGCCCTCACGCCGCAGCAGCTCTGCCCTGTCCCTGACTGGTCACCCAGCCCACGCTGCCTGTCCCTCGCAGGGCTCCCCGGGCGGCCGGGCACCCCGGAGATCCCCCAGAAGTACAAGAACACGGTGCTGGTGCTGTGGAAGCCTGCGGAGAGCAAAGCCCCCTGCACCTACACGCTGGAGCACAGGCTGGAGGGTACGTGGGCCTGCCTCCCATCCCCCGGGGGCTGCAGCCAGAAAGATGGGCTCACACGGGGACACCAATCCAGGACAAAAGTGCCCAATGTCCTTGCTGTCCCCTGGGGCTTGGTGGGGTCCTGGGTCAGGGGTGGGGGACAGGGGGCTGCCCCCGGTCTGCCCTCACCTCACCTTGCTCCCACGCTAGCAGGGGAGCACGAGTGGAAGATCGTCAGCACTGGCATCGCCGACTGCTACTTCAACGTGACGGAGCTGCCCCCTGGGAGCACCGCCAAGTTTCGGGTGGCCTGTGTCAACAAGGCCGGGCAGGGACCCTACAGCAACCCCTCAGGGAAGGTGCACCTTGAGGCAGCAGGTAAGCAAGCCCTGTCCCACGGGCGTGGGGCAGCTGTGGGGCTGAGGCCTCTGGGATGCTCTGGGGGTCCTTGAGTCCCAGGGGTCCTCCCCGAAAGGCTTTGGGGAACAGGGCACCACTTGCACCCCACTCCTGGCTTACCCCCACCTGGCTCATACCTCCCTTTGCTTCCCACAGATGCCCGAGCTGCCCCAGCCAAGGACATCGCTGTCCCTGTCCCCGAGAAGGTGGCTTCCAGTCGGTCAACCCAGACGCCCATGGAGCAGCTGGAGCCGCTGGCCGTGGGGACCCCCCCCACGCTGCCGCCCCACAAGCACAAAGGAGTGGTGCAGAAGGCAGACGGGGCAGCGCAGGCGGACGTCCCCCCGGGGGTCCTCCAGCCCCCTGCACCGTGCGAGGAGGGGCCGCGGCCAGACCCCAAACTCCCACCCGACATCACAGTCTGCGTGCCCCCTGAGCTGATGTTCACCCCACCTCGGACTGTCACCTCGCCCCACACAGACACCCCCACCCAAGCCTCCCCCGCACCCCCCACGGACACGTCCCCCCCCCCCCAGGCTCCGTCTCCTTCCAAGTTGTCCCCCACTTCCCCTGTGTCAACCACCCCCAGCTCAGCCCCCACGCTGTCTCCCACCCCCAACACCGCACCCACGCGGAAGATGCCCCCCTACATGGTCACGTCCTTCGTCTCCATGCCCCCTGCATCGCCCCTCGCACAGGAGTCGTCCCACCCCACCCCATCTTCCAAGGAGCCCCCAGCTGAGAGCGGGGTCCCGGGGGCAAAAGACAGCACAGCGCTGCGGCAGGGCGTCCCCCAGAAGCCATACACCTTCCTGGATGAGAAGGCGAGGTGAGTAGCAGTGGGACGGGATGCTCTGCCGGGGGTGTCGTCCCCCCCCCAGCACCCCACACTGGGGATGCTGAGTGCCGCCCTGTGCCACAGGGGCCGTTTTGGGGTGATCCGGCTGTGCAAGGAGAACGCCACGGGGAAGCACTTCATGGCCAAGATCGTACCCTACGAGGCGGAGCGGAAGCAGAGCGTGCTGCAGGAGTACGAGATCCTCAAGGCGCTGCACCATGAGCGCATCATGGCCCTGCACGAGGCGTACATCACCCCCCGCTACCTGGTGCTCATCTGCGAAAACTGTGCCGGCAAAGAGATCCTCTACAGCATTGTGGACAGGTACGGGCAGGCGCAGGGCCGCCGGAGACAGCTGCCGGCACGGGGCTGCCCGCTGATGCCACTTGCCCCCAGGTTTCGCTACTCAGAGGACGACGTGGTGAGCTACGTGCTGCAGCTCCTGCAGGGCCTCGAGTACCTGCACAGCCGCCGCATTGTGCACCTCGACATCAAGCCAGACAACGTCGTCATCTCAGGCATGAACGCCCTCAAGATCATCGATTTCGGCAGTGCCCAGACCTACAACCCCCTTGTGCTGCGGCAGCTGGGGCGGCGTGTCGGCACCCTGGAGTACATGTGTGAGTGGGGCACTGGGGGTGTGGTGGCATGGGGACAGGGACAGATCTGGGGCACACTTGTGCCAGAGGTGTGCATGCATGCCTGTGCAGTTGGGGGCTTGGGAATGTGGAGGATTTGAGGTGTCCTTTGGGAAGCTGGGGGGGTCTTTGGGGTGCTGGGGGTGTCTGCTGAGGGTTTCTGTAGGGTTGCTGGGCTCAGTGGGAGAGTTTGGGTGCTGTGGGGCGGTTGGGGTATCCTTGGAGGTGCTGTGCTCTGTCAGGGTATTGGGGTGTCAGGGAGGGGTGCTGGAGGGTGCAATGGTGCAGTTCTGTGGCTGGTGAGGATGCTCTGGGTGCTGTGGATGCTGTGGGTGCTGGGGATACTGTGGGTTCTGGAGGTGCCGGGAGTGCTGTGGGTGCTGGGGCTGGGCCCCCCCCGGTGCATATGACAGACCTGCTTCCCTGCCCACAGCACCAGAGGTGGTGAAGGGGGACCCGGTGGGCTCCGCAGCAGATGTCTGGGGTGTTGGCGTCCTCACCTACATCATGTAAGAGAAGGGGCCGGGGGTACAAGCACCCTGAGGTGTAGTCAGCCCCACCCAGGGCTCGGTGCCATGGGGAACACCAGGCTGGTGGTGGGCTGGGGGATGCTGTATCCCTGCAGACCCTTCCCAGCTGGACACGGGGATCGAGACACTCTGGCAGCTGTGGCTGTCCCAAACCAGGGATGGGTGGGTAGGGGGTGCTGGGTGCCCTCCCACCGCTGCACTCCAGCCTGTGCCACCCCCTCCACCCTTGCAGGCTCAGTGGGCGGTCGCCGTTCTTCGAACTGGACCCCATTGAGACAGAGAACCGCATCCTGGCAGGGCGCTTTGATGCCTTCAAGCTGTACCCCAATGTCTCGCAGAGTGCTGCCCTCTTCATCCGCAAGGTCCTTGCCGTCCACCCCTGGTGAGTGCCCAGCCCAGCCAGGGAGGACACGTGGCCCCAGACTGCGCCTGTGACCGGGCCAGGCGGGCAGCTCCCTGCCCCACGGGGCCCCTCCAGACATCATCAGTGGGACCCCAGGGCCCATCCCTGCCCCTGGAGAGGGCTGGGATCTCCTGAGCTCAGGGCCCTGGGATCCATCCCTGTTCTTGGAGAGGTCTGGGACCCCCTGGGACTTGCAGGGGAGGGATGGTGGCCAGGTTTGGGAGGTGCAGCAGCGGCAGGCACCCCACGGTCCCTGACGCGGTGCTGCCCCTGCCCCAGGAGCCGCCCCACAGTGAAGGACTGCTTTGCCAATGCCTGGCTCCAGGATGCCTACCTGATGAAGCTGCGCCGCCAGACCCTGACCTTCACCACCAACCGCCTCAAGGAGTTCCTGGTGGAGCACCAGCGGCGCCGTGGCGAGGCCGTCACCAAGCACAAGGTCTTACTCCGCTCCTACCAGGGCGGCCAGCCGCCGGGGCTGCAGTAGCTGGTGCCTCGGCCGCAGCCGCAAGAGGCCGAGGAGCCAGAGGAACATTCCAGGGGCCACGGGATGGGGCGGCCGAGGAGGAGCCGGGACGTGCCGGGATGAGCCCACGGACTTCACGCGCCGCCGCCGGGGATGCTGGCGGCTGGCATCATTTTGGTGGTGCCGACAGAGAGGGGAGGTGCTGCCCCAGCCGGCCCAGCGGTGGGGTCCAGCAGCAGGCAGGCGGCAGGAAGCCTTGTTGTGAGGAACTGAGAATGTGGCAGAGGGTCAGGAGAAGGATGGGATGGGGACAGGGGGCCAAGGGAAGCCCCAGGCAGGAGAGGGAGAGACACCAGCACGCCAGCCAGCCCTGGCCACACGGGTCTTGTCAGCCGTGTGCCTTACGCCGCAGCCTGTAGCTGCCCCCGGCCACGGCGCAGGGGTCCCTGCGCCCCCTCCAGTTTGCACGCCAGCGCCCGAGGACTGAGGCTGCTCCAGTGGTTCCTGCAGAGAGGGGCCCGCTCGCAGCCCCCTGCCCCCCCTGCCAGCCAGCACAGCCCCGGTCCTCACGGCTGGGAGCGGGGGCCACTAGCCCCCCACCTTCCGCTCCTCCCAGCCCCGGTCCTGGCAAGCGGGTTTGCGACCCCAGGACCGATGCCGGTGCCTTCCCCGGGGCTGTCAGCTGTGCCCCACATGGGAGCGGGGGGCTGGCCGGCACCCCTCCTTTTGCAGGGGGGCACCCACGTGCCACACACACCTCCTGCGCCTGCTCAGGCCGACGCTGCTCACGCTCTGCCTGCCCGGCTCCGGCCCTCGCCCTG